CTAGGCCCTGCTCGCGAAAGTCGCGAAAGTTAATCGCTCGCGAAAGTTTGTCGTTTTACAGTACTCCCGTCAAGGCTTTGTTCCAGCTCGTTGTACATTAAATTTTCATTTTTCTTCATTTTCTGCAGCGAAGTCAAAGATAGGAGAAACAGAAGACGAAATGGCGAATGGTGGGTGCTTGCTGCTGCCTTCCTGTACCTCCTTCTTGGGAACTCATGCACCATGGATGTTTTGGTATTGCCCGTTGTGAATGCAGTGTATTCGTTCGACGGGCTTGTGATATTCGGCCTGCTCTTCATTTGTTCCTGTGCCTACCTACGCGGTGTGCCTCGCATCAAACAATGGCTCTTCTCTGAGAAGCGGGGCATGCTAGGGCCCTTCTACAAAGGTTAGCGTTGACTTGGTCACTTGTCTAAAGTACAGAAGTTGAATAAAATTAGCAGCGCCAGGAGGATCTCATGTTTTCGCCGGGTGTATTATTATTATTTTTTGAATTTCATAATTTGAGAATTGTATTCCGAGAACGAGTCGACGGGACTGGGGCTGGGGATAAGTTGGGTATAGATTAGTTGTACCAAATTCAAATATCTGTATTGAAGGCAGGCATTGCGTTTCCATCGTGTCGTTTTTGTTGCCCGTAGAGTTCACGAGATCTAGGTCAGCAGGAAGTGTTAACAAATTCAGGAAAGGCACACAAAGGAATTTCTGCCTTTCCTGAAATTCTTTTCATGTGGGCCCATAAGTTGGCCTAGCTCCCATTGTTCCCGCAGGCAACACACATGACTCGATGGAAATCCTTTTGTGATGTACCGTACTTTCCAGAGCATAAGCCGCACCCAGATTTTTGTCACGAACGACTGACATCCATCCTTGTATCACCATTCATCAATTTTGACCATTGTAGTATAACCCGCACTTTTTTTTAAAACGAGTGCTTAAAATGGGGCTTTTACTCTGGAAAATAGGGTAGTTTAGCTTCCCAAATTGCTGGTTCACATTGGGCGGGTCGTAATGAGCGACGGCAGGAGTACGCGAAACTACACTTGCACTCGGTGAAATCCAACCCGGAGTGCATATTTGGCGGCGTCAACTTGCACGGTCCTTGACGTCCTGGAAGTGGCACGAATGCGGCGGTACATACGCATGTACACATACAATGACGTAGTCGGAACTGGTCCAAGACTCCAGCTTTGCACTTTGGGTGGGATTTCGCCGAGCGCAACTGTAAATCCATGATACGGTTAACCACACATGTGTATAGGCGAAACCAAGAACACGTCAACCAGAGTATGCAGCCAGTGTTGGTAGGGGAAGGCACAATTCACTAGCTACCTTACTTTTCATGATTCATTGTTAGCGACGCTCCACGACTACATTTGCGCGGCGCTACACCAACTCAACCCTAGACATAAGTTTTTACAGTGCGACGTTGACGTTGAATAGCGATGTAAACGACATGGATTGTGCTCTTCTGAATCCGGTGTACTCGCAGTTACGACATGGATTGTGCTCTTCTGAATCCGGTGTACGCGCAGTTTCACATTCTTTTTCATATGCTCTTGGTGATTTGAGCTAAATTTGGGTCAGCATGCCGACTCGGAAGAAGTGATCAGTTGTATACGTGTATTGTTTCAGGATGAGTTTGTACACTTCTTGCTGATTCTCGTTGAAAGCAAATAGGTCTTGAGCTAGCAGCCACAAGTCAAGTTGCACTGCTATTCGCTGCACTCAAAAAGTTTTATGCAACTGGAATGAGAAAAGAAAGTGGAGGAGAGTGAATAGCAAGACAGCTTGAGTTATGGCCGTTAGCTCAAGACCTTATTGCTTACCGCATGCTCTTTGGCAGTCTTTGCACATGTCAGCAATTTCCATTCCCACAAGACTCTACTACAGTGCTGACAACTGAAATCCGACCCCCTGAGCGGTGCGCTCACATCGCAAAGAATGTGTACCCACCGCTCGGGGGTCGGATTTCAGTTGCCAGCACTGTATAATGCATTACACATATAAAACCCGCTTTGGGAGCGGTTTCAGAAAAACGTATGCTGGTGTAGTGCGTGCATGGATTACCCCGTCGTAAAAGTGTGAAATTAGTACTGGTTAATCACACGTACGTTGTTGAACTTTGCCACCGAGGTAATGGATTACGTCATCCGAATGCACCAGTAGCACGAGGACTACGTCGTCAACACACCACACGTACGTACACACACACACACACACACACACACACACACACACACACACACACACACACACACACACACACACACACACACACACACACACACATGAGGATGGCTGCGGTCCGCGCAGTGCACGTGCAAACTCATGCACGTAATGAAATAAATCGCCCGATGCGGCCACGATCACCCCAGCCAAAGTCTGGAAGACGAGACTGCGCGACAACCAAAGCGAGCACCACAACTGAGATACACCTGAACCTATAGTGTGCGTGTCAGTGCACATTCGCCACTGCCACTGCCACCACAGGTTGCACACGGCATATCACCCACATCTGCCCATGATATGAATGGGTGGGCGAAACCATAGGCCCGCCTGCCCACCTCCGCCGTCTCCTCCTCCCCCCACGACTTTGCTGGTGCTGGTGTCCTCCTGGTGCGTGGTGCGGTGCACCGCCGTGCTCCTGCCGGAACAGGTCGCCTTCTTCCAACTGCCGCCGCTGCTGCTGCTTCTGCTGCCGCTCCTCCTGCCGCCCCTCTTCCCTCTCGTGCCATTGTCGCTTTGCTTCTAACGCTTGCTGCCGTCGCTCTTGTACCTGTAGCTAACGTTTTTCCGCTTCAGCCCGGCCCCGCTCCTGCGACTCGCGCCACAGCTGCTGCGACTCTTTTTCCTGCTGTTGTGCTTGCTGCCGCCGCTTCTCCTCCTCCTCTTGCCGCTGCTCTTGCTGAGCCTGGCGGGGGGGGGGATTATTGGCGGAGGTGTACATGGGGCATCACTCCCGTCCGGTGACCACTCAAACAGCCGCTCCGCATCAGCGGCCGACATATCCAGCGCCTTCAGGCACCCAATTGCCGTTTCTGTGTCTGTAGATCAGCAAGCACAAGAAACCAGTACACATTCAATTAGCAACGGATTGCATGGGATGCTGAGAGGATTCCCACCAACCACCCATCCTCACTACTGCAGCAGGAGGACACAGTGCGTTACCTCAGCATCAACCAGCAAGTCGCTGGGAGCGAGAATACCTCAGCATCAACCAGCAAGTCGCTGGGAGCGAGAATAGTGGTATCTTGTTGTACTACAACCGATACCGCGCACACATGTCAAGTAATGACACACAGCGTCATTCATTCATAGTATGCAAGACATACATTCGTATGATCAACAATACTCTCGTTCAACGACACTACACTGTCGTTCGCATTCCACACATCACCATGGCGGCGCACCCGATAGACCATGAGAAAGGAACTAACCACAGCAGCAGAAACTCACCGGGAAGACGACGGAGGCTTGTCTGCCGACCAATGAGACGATCCAAAAAGCGGTCCGCGAGCAGAGCAG